ACAAACCACAAAAAATGCGGACCCTGAAATGTATTGCTCAGATATGAACGCATATCGAATATAATTTATACCCAATCTGTTTTGGATCGTCCAAACCAGGGCCGGATCGTCATGGCAACATGTTGCTTGCTTGAGTGGAGTGGATCGCCAACAGCCTTCCGGTTTGTATATACAATAACATGGCATAGTTTCAAAACTGTTGTATTTCATTTCCACTGAAGATTACTACATGCCTCTCACCATTCTTGATTAAACCCTTGCCGTCCGTGCAGTATTTATTTTTACATAAATAACGCAGTGCTCGTTGCTGCCACTTGTGACACGGAAACAATAACAAGCGTCTAATACAAGAATCACACCTTGCAAGATGTGTTAATTAACCATGAGGGTTACACCACGGTTACACGAACTCCAACGTTTTTAACCATAAAGCACTGCGTCACTGAAACCAATAATCCTTGTGGCCATATTTTATTTTTTAACAATCGACAACCCTTTCAGCATCACTGAAATCGACACCTTTGACGCCGTACATTTTTTATATGTATTGTGATTTGACTCTGGCAGTCTGTAATACAGCGCTCGCTATTGCATCACTGAGATCGATAACCCTTGGTGCTCGTGTATTTTTTTTAAACATTTTACTGTGATACGACAAAAGACACAGCGCTCGCTATTGCATCACTGAGATCGACAACCCTTGGTGCCCGTGTATTTTTTTTAAACATTTTACTGTGATATGACAAAAGACACAGCGCTGGCTGTTGCGTCACTGAAATCGACAACCCTTTTTTTTTATTAACAAAGCACGATAGACATCACTGAAATTGCGCTCGCTATTGCATCACTGAGATCGACAACCCTTGGTGCCCGTGTATTTTTTTTAACATTTTACTGTGATATGACAAAAGACACAGCGCTCGCTCTTGCATCACTGAGATCGACAACCCTTTTTTTTATTAACAAAGCACGATAGACATCACTGAAATCGCGCTCGCTATTGCATCACTGAGATCGATAACCCTTGGTGCCCGTGTATTTTTTTTAAACATTTTACTGTTGCGTCACTGAAATCGACACCCTTTGACAAACCCATTAACACATATGCTGGCCGAGTACGGTCACTGGCCGTGATCGGTCACTGGCCGAGTAGAATTCTGGCCGAGTTCGGTGGTCACCATACATTGTACTTTTACAACCACTAACCTGATTTGTTTTTATCACTATTAATACATATATTTAATTTAAACTGAAATTTTGTGTTAAGCATTTTGATCATTATTGTTTGAAACATTTATTATCGTATATTTTTTTAAATGCTGTGTTTTCAGATGAGAACGTTATTACATATTTGAATATATAATATACACATAACCATTGTCTGAAACCATTGTCTATAAATAGATGTGTTGATGATATGAAACATTTTCTAGTTTAACAAATTAGAATGCGAACAATGCCAAAAATCACAACTTTATTACATAGCACCTACAATTTGAACCTTCCACCAATCAGAAACATTCCCGCCTAGGGTTCAGTATCTTTCATTTTAGTTCCACGTTGTTGTGTTTACAACTCTCTCTTTTTTAGTCTTTGTTTCCTAAAATTGTCATCATGTGGGTTAGTGTATTTAAAATCTTTTAACATTTTATTGAATTTCTAACTCAAATAGTTCTTTTGCAGTCTTTTCTTTTTAATATGATTAAATTGTTTGCTTCATATATGCATATTAAACTAAATATCTGTCAAGGAGAAAGACAATTACCTTGCTCTGATGTGGTCAGGGGTTTCTTCGTGCTATTGGCTATTAGCCTAATGTTGGCTATATAGAAACTCATTAGCCACCTACGTTTCTAAATACTGTATATGAAGAATACCAACTTTCTTGATTGAGCCTTCTGACCAGAATTTTAGAGGAAAACCCGGTATGGTGAATTATGTCTACAGTTTCTATTACATCATTTTATATTTTAGTGATTTACGAGAAGCAAGAAGTAAATTATTGGAAATTGTCAGTAATCCCAACATAGAGACAAGTGCAATGAAAACTGCTGTGGAAGACTATTTCTCTCTCTTGGAAGGTTTCATACAGGCCTGTGATGAAAAGGGAGGTGAAAGTAAACTGAGATACATTTTGAATTACAAGTGGACAAACTCTTTAATGGGTTATGAACCAAGGTGTGATATTATCTTATGGTGTTATTTCTAAATTATCGATACAAATTTACTGAATAACATAACAACATTGGTCATGATTACATGATCTTACCTAAAATAGTACCCGGTACTGATATTTTGGATTATTGTTTAGTGTGTGAAACAGAATAAATATAGATAGACCATTTCATAACAATATCTTTGTTGTTTTGTTGTTTAGACAAACAGTATAGCTTCATGTATATCAGTCAATGAGCTGCTAGTTGAAAAACATTTGATGATTTTAATATTAGGGATGTCTGTACAGTGACAACATTTGTGTTTATGAATATTGTAATTACTGTAAAACCATTTATTTTCGCTGACATTGAATTTCACTATTTTGATTTTTTGAGCATATTCATTGTGTTTTAGTTTTACGAATTTGTCAAGGAAACAATTTATTATTTTGTTATTTTACATGTTCACATAGATTTAATTTAGTGGATTTTCTTATCAGCAATAATAGCAAAATTAAAATCCAGTGAATAATTAATGCATTTACAGTACCATGTTAAAAGTGCATCTCCCATTAGAGGTTCATATTGAGGCAAATTTGGTAATTAATTAAGTAATTTGGTGGGCTGTGTCAAAGCACACAAACCTATGTATGGTGATTTTTTACAGGTCAGCGCATGTGCTTCTGATAGAGCAAATATGGTCCTACTACTTCTTAACATGTTTCTTTATATCCATATTCAGCTCGCAACAAGATGTGATATTTGAAATGAGCCACATGTTAATAAATATTGGGTTGTGGTACACCAAACATGCATCCAAAGTGGCAGGAGAACATGAAGAGTGAGTATATATCATTAAGATTTCATAATCTCATTGAACCATTTAGACTGACGTTGTCTGTATAAACCAAGGATTAAAGTAGTATCACAAGTCCTAATTATATTTATATATGAACATATTTTGTATCATCATTCTAAAATGACAACTATAACTACAACCATCAATTATTAAATGAGTATAGCATTGTTCTTGTTACCTTGACACTGTTACCATGACACTGTTGCCGTATTAATAACAATGTAGATTTTGTTTTGTTGCTGTGTTAATAACAATGTAGATTTTGTTTTGTATGAAAACTACCATTTATTTTGTACAAGTGCCATATGTTGATCAGTAGGAATTCAATTGGCTGTGACTACAAGTACAAAGATATACACCACGCACAGCAAACAAAATTAGTGGGTATGTGTATTTGGTTGAAGTCAGTTGAAGTGTAAATCAATAATTAGAATAAAATATGTTCTATAAAATACTTGATGTTTTCAGAGTATCCATGGATGATGCTAAGGACTGTCATACATGTCTAAAAACTGCAGCTGGTATATTCAACTTTGTTAAGGTAATTCAATGGCCTATTTTATGGACTAAGTAAAATATTTGACTGTACTTCTGTTAGAAATGCATCTATTTACAGAAATAATGGATTGTGCCTCATATTAAATATATATGTATATGATTGGCTCAGTATATTTTACCACTTGAACTAAAATACAAAAACAAAATGTGAAGTACCAATACAATTTTGGAGACATGCTTCTAATGTAGGAAATACATCAAATGTTATTTGCAGGAAAATCTTGTTGGTAAGTTATTGAACACACCAGAAAAAGGTGAAGACTTGGACAGTAGGATATTGACAGCTTACTTAGAACAATGTACAGCGGAAGCACAAGAAGGTATGAAACGATTGTGTATTAGTTAAATTTAGGGTAAGATAATTTTAGTAACACTATACACATTCCCCAGAGAGATTGGTAATGGTTACATATGTTTAAGAAAGAACAAAGGTTAAAAAAAAATGAATAAAATAAAATAGAAAAATAAAAAACTAAGCTAATACATTACAGAGAAAAAAGAAGACTAAGACTAAATTATTATACTATAAAAGGATAAAATGCAAAACTTAACTGTGAAAGAGAATTGGGCATATCAGTTAAATGTAGGGAGTAATACGTTAACATAAATAACTGTTGACATATATGATACAAATTATTAAAATGTTCATCATTTACTTCTGATTCTTAGTCTTTCTTCTCTGGTTTAGATTGCCAATTTATTAATTAAAAAGAAAAGATGGCAACACAATCGACAGGTTTCTACTTTAATTACATGACATATCATCACATTCACTATGTTTTACCCCACAGTGACTGTAGCTAGAGCCATAGAATTGAAACATAACTCCGGTCTAGTATCCGGGTTAGCTCATGAGACTGCTAAACTATTCAGAAAAGCGGATGATTCCCTCACATCGTTGGATGTTACCATGGTTGCGAAGTGGAGAAAATATTTACAACTGAAGTATATCATTTACATGGCATATGTAAGTTGTTCTAATGAAATAAAAACAGTATGGTTCATTGATATACCTATATGACTGCAGCCATCCATAGCATCTGGACTAGGATTAATATTTACACACATTTATGTTTATTTTTCACAGGCTCACTGTTTCAATGGCACCACATTACTGGGCAAAGATAAATGTGGTGACTCAATCAAGTCATTACAAGAAAGTAAAAAATGTAAGTTGTACTACCTTTGTGTGTTCACATCTTGTGATAAATAAAGCCTGCTTTGTTCTTATGTGACTTTGTACACTCTGTTTGTGCACATCATTTGTTTCCAGTGTGATCCAATATAGCCATCTGGCAACCATATTTGTTGTGTCAAAAATGACTGGTTTAATGTTTGGTGCACATTGACACATGAACTTTAACACCAATTGCTGTCAGAGTACAGGACTCCTTACAATACCAATTGCGGTCTTCTGTCACACTGATCACGCATATGGCAAAAATGACAATGGGGCTAACGTGGATGAGGGCAATGATTAAAACATGCCATGTCTTGGATGATTTGAACGAGTTAACCAAATATTATGAAATTAATACCTGATAGCCATCTGACAGTTATTTCTTTTCAGAAATTTATTTGTCTAGTTAGTCCCCGTTCGGACGAAGTCTGAAAACGGGGACTTATAATTTGGTCTCCGTCTGTGCGTCCATGCGTCCGTCCGGATTCATATCTCAGAATCCCTTTGACTGATTCCGTTCATTCTTTGCATGTTCATAGTACTTTATGCGGGACATATGCACATGCAGTGGTTTAGCGATACGATTCAAAATGGCCGACTGGCAGCCATCTTGTTTTTTTGAAAATGTTGTATTTTGGACATACTTTTGTCAGGTTTCATTCAAACTTGGTACATAGATTATACATGTTAGGATACATGTCCATGACAATATTTTCGCAATTGGATCAAAGATGACCAACTGGCAGGCATCTTGTTTGTTTTTTTGAATGTTGTATTTTGGACATGCTTTGTCAGTTTTCATTCAAATTTGGCACATACTTTATACATGTTAGGATACATGTCCATGACAATTTGTTTCAAAATCGGATCAAGGATGGCCGATTGACAGTCATCTGACTATTTGGCCTTACTACTATATTTCCAAGATTTATGTACCATTTTCATTTGTATTTGGCACATACATCATACATGTCATTTTGTTTCATAATCAGATCAAAGATGGCCGAATAACAGCTGTTTTTATTTGTGGCCATATTACTATATCTCTGTCACCCATGTATCATTTTCATTGATATTTAGCATGTCAATTCAATTTGCAACTTGATCAAATTTGGCCGACTGCAGGCCACCAGTTTGTTTGAAATGTGATAACTTGGACATGCTTTCACTTGTGATCTATGTTTTTCTTTGCTATGTCTTAAACAGAAGGAGCCGTCACGCAACACATGTTCGAATTTGATGTAAATAAACAATATGTTGTATACACCACTTGAGACTCAAGTTTCAAGGACATGCTCGCGACAACCCCTCCACTTTAATATGATGAGCACAAAGAGAACTTTCAAAAATTTAACGGGGACTGTGTCACTGTGTCATTTTCAATGACTTATTATAGAACAGGTATATCAGTTCTAACATTAGGGTTATATTCTAAGCAACATGTCTATACTACTATGTGGTGAATAACATAGTCGTGTTTTGATGTTTTCTTTGTAGTTTATGAAAAGGCTTGTCAAATGTGCAAAGACTATGCTTCAACCAAAGGGCCAGGATCTATAGCCAAGCCTGAAAATCATTTATTCTTTAGAAAACTTGGACCAATGATTAACAGAACACTAGAAAAAAGTACAAGAGAAAATGGATTCATGTAAGATTTGTCGTACATAATTTGTTTTAAATGATCAGTTGCTATACATTTTTTGCTCTTTACATGTAAGATTACGTTACTATTATCCATTCCACAGTTACTTCCACAAGGTGCCGGAAATCGTTCCTGAGTTAGAAGACAAGGCATCCTATGGTTTGGCTAATCCTGACCAATACACTCCTCCTGCAATTCATTCGTCATGGAAACCAGAGCTCTATAGTGCTTTTGATATAAGTAAAGTACCATCTGATGGACAAAATACACAGGTATGTGTATGTAACCATCTCCATCCATATTATTCACATTTTACTGTCTTACATACAATCCTACATAAGTACATGCACTTCTAATAAATGCAATATAAATATTGTAATGTCTTAGTACCATATGTCCATATATAAACTCCTATGAGTAATTGCATTATGCTTGAAAATACATCATGTATTTTTTTTTTAATTCAAGGATAAGAAAAAAGATGAGGAAATCAAACCAATAAAA